ATTTATTTTCACCAATCAACAAAATGCAGTGAATGAACAAAAGAGAAATCTAAATCAAATCAATATTTGGTGTGACCACGCTTTGGCTTCATAACAGCATCAATTCTTCAAGGTACACTTGCACACAGTTTTTAAAGGAACTCGGCTGGTAGGTTGTGCCAAACATCTTGGAGAACTGACCACAGATCTTCTGTGGATGTTGGCTTCCTCACATCCTTCTGTCTCTTCATATAATCCCAGACACACTCAATGACGTTGAGATCAGGGCTCTGTGGGGACCATGCCATTACTTCCAGTACTTCTTGTTCTTCTTTACACTTATGATAATTCTTAATGACTTTGGCTTGGCTACATTCGGGGCAAATAAACAATCATTCATATTTCTGAAAGCATTCTTTGTTTAAAGAATTTTTTCACATTACTACATATATGTACATATACATATGTATGTACACACACACACACACACACACACACACACACATATCCATCTTATTCTCTTATCCTAGTGGCAGCAGTCTAAGCAGAGAAGCCCAGCCTTCTCCTCCAACGACAATGAGCATGGAGGCGTTCACAAACCAGCCGAGAGATCAAATCTCTCCAGTGTGGAACTTTTCTCAGTCTGTCTGATTTTTTTAGGGAAGTAGCTCTGCAAAGCCAATGTACCACTGTTAGATATTGTTAGATACCCCAGATCTTGCACACACACACAACACACCACACACTAATCAATAACTTATAATAACTCTGTCAGCACAACACATCCTTCCCCTCATGTGCTCAGGCTCCGGCTGCTGCTTCAAATGCTTCACAACAGCTGTGGCGACAGCTGACACACACACACACACACACACACAAACACACACACACACTCACCCTCTTGTCATGTGGTTGGTCTCTGTCTGGGTGGGGGGGCATTAACTAAAGTGAGTCTTTGTTGTTCAGACTCAAACTAGACGTTACTGCAGAGTCTACAGTGTGACAGTCAGCAGATCACACCAGATCTCTCTCTTCTCTCAAACACACACACACACACACACACACACACACACACACACACACAGGGGAAGTCCGGGGCTTTGAAAAATCTCATTCTTTCCCTGCAGTCCATTTGAAATTTTGCTGATCTTAGTGTTAGGTACTCCTCCTTGATCCTCCTCCTGTTTTCCAGTTTAGAGGGTGTTCTTCCTCCCCACCATCGCCAGTTTTGCTTATTAGCTCATCTGGTAATGGGCTCCTACTCCCCCACATCACCCTCAGTTAGTTTAAACTGTTTTGAGGTGATTTCTGCTGTTTGTGCAGCTGTTCCTCTCAAACTTCACAAATACCCAGTGAGGCTCAGAGGGAACAAAGACCAACTAGCATGTAGACACCCAGCACTGAAACATCCGTCTCCAAATAAGCTCCCACATCTGGAAATGACCAAACAAGCTCACTTTATTCTGGTTAAGATGGACCCTTGATGTAGTTTCCAGCATCCAGCTGGTGTCACGCTGCCTCAGTGATACTTAGAGATGCTGAGCCATCGTTAATGAAAGATGTCCCGCTGACTCATAACAGAGTGATTCTGAGGTTTCCAGGATCTCTGAGAGACGGAAGGTGCAAACACACCATAGCTTCAAAGAGGTGGGTTACTGGTGCAGTTTAAACCATCTAAACCCAACAAGCTCAAAACAAAAGAAAAAAAGTGCAAACATAAAAGTCTAAACGGGGCGTGACCACAGCCTCCTCATTAGTTTCGTGTTTGCCGGAACACAGGAAGTGTTCAGCAGGGAGGATCAGGACAGTACGAGGGTGTCTTATATAACAGCCTGTGACGTCCTCATCAGGAGCTTGGAAGGAGCCCTTCTTTGGAGGTCATGGTTCGAGTCCCGCTGGGAGCTTTAAGTTTTTCTTTAGTATGACTTTTTACTCTCACTATTATATCCTGGTTGAAGGTTCGGGACAGCAGGACGTCACCCCCACACAAGAAAGGCTCAGACTCGACTTTGTTAATTTGGTCCTAATGAAGCCGACAGTGTGACAAAGTGAAGCTCCCAGTACTTCGTGAAAAGAGAGGCGATACCACACTCACACTTCCTCTCCCACAGATGACCATCTCCACATTGAACCTCTCTTCGTCTCCTATTCCACCCGACCTTTGACCTCTGAATTGCTGCCACACACAGACTCGGTATCACAGTTTTCACATAAACGCTGCACAGGTACAGTCTAACCTGTGACCTCACAGTCAGGTAGGACATCCTCAGCTGTAACAGGAAGTTAATGTGAAACACGGCTCAGAAATCAGCAGCGTGTAGTGAGTTACTATGAGGGGAGGGAGGGGCAGGGTGTCCTGGCCTCAGTTTAACATTCCTGTGTGCTGACTGCTGCAACACATGGCAACTATTACAGAGACACAGCCAGAGAGGCATGGAGGTAAAATTAGCCGATATTTGAATGAAGTTTGGCTGAAAGAATCCAGGTTAGAGAACACGCGCAGTTCAGCTCAGCAGTCTCAGCTACACAAACACCACATTAACCATTTATACACCCACCCCTCAAGTTTGGAAACAAGCCAATCAGGTTACAGATCACGTCCTGTCACACATCAAATGTCTGTGTATCAGACACAACAAGCAACTCACATATATTAGCTAACCGATGATGAGTTCCTGTTGGCCCCACTACTAGTGCTAAAACATTATTAAGTGGCTGTCTCCAGGCCAGGCCCCTTATGAAGCCTGTCAGCTGTGGTTGGTTATTTTATATATATATATATATATATATGTGTGTGTGTGTGT